GACGGCGCGGGAGGAGGGTGCTGGTGGGAAAGGTGGAGGGTGCCTAGGGAGAGGGGGGAAAACAGAAGGTACCCGGCATGGGTTTAGATGCTTTTACCTTTTTGAAAAGGCAATTAACCACAATCTTTTTTTAACCACGGTGGTTTAGGAAAAAATAGAGGTGCTAGAGAAAGCAAGGGTGCAGTTTGGCAGTGCTGCTGTGGGGAACACCCTTGGAGCCTGTGGGGAAGCTCAGACCACTGGGGGTTCTCCCACAGCACTTTGTAATACAAAGATTCCCACTTCCAAGTTCAGACCTGTGTGGCCCTCTGAGTCTCTTAATTCTGCACAACAGATCTGCTAGTCTTGAACCTAACTAAATACATTCTACACTGCTTTTAATTTCCATTTTTCTAAAGCTAGATGGGAGTACCAGTGAAGATCCTGGATGGCTCCAGGAAGGCCTGTTGTCTGCTGCTGCTCTGAAGGCAAATGGGTAATCCCAGCAGCACATTATTAGGAAGTTGATGTGTGTCTTTGCTGTAGTGGGTTATCATGTGCAGAGTCAGGGCTTCAGTCGTTTTGCATATTTGAGCTGGCCAAGAGATATCCAACGCACGGTAAGTAACAAAAGTTTATCTTGACAGCTGGCAAACAGAGCCAGGCTTCATTCCATTTTCTGCTGCTGCATAGACAGAGCAGTAAAATACAACTGTGTGTGATACAAGTGAAATAACATAACCTGGACATACCATGATAGAAGTGTTAGGAAATCAGTTCCTCACCAGAACTTATAAATTAAAAATACAGATCTCACCATTTTATTGAGACAGTCACTGACAGTTTGTAAAAAAAAAAACAAAACCAAAAACATTCTAACATACATAAAAACTTTAGGCCAGAAATAGCAAGGAATTGAAACAGCATTCCTCCCTCCCCCCGCCCCCCGATACTGCAGTACAAACTTCAGTTTGTTTGATTTAAATTGGCTTAATCTTGAAGTGTAGTCCAATAAGACTGAAGACTAGACACTTAAGGTCCTGGACCAGGTAGTAGAACACTCTCAAACCTTCTGGATCCCTGCAGTACACAACAGAAGGAAATAATAAAGTTAGATTGATGTTCTAAGAGAGCAGTTTATATAGAGCTAACCTACTAAAAAACCAACAAAGCCTACAGGGAGACTGTTCAGAGGTCATCTTTAGACATGAACAGATTTGTTTCATTTACATTGACAGAGAAAACATTCTGTATTCCATCTTTGCACGTTTTAAGTCTTAACAAAATGTGCATTTTTATCATGAAAGCAACTAGTAGCATCACTTTGGATTTAAAAAAACATGATACCCTGTCTTTTCAGCCTAGGTAAAACAGAGAAATCTTGGTTCTCCCAGAGACACTGGTGTGGACAGGCCAACAACAGTTCAGTTCAGACCGACGGGGATTCCTATAGTAAGGTTAGCTGCTCGGTCAGCTTGAAACTACAGCATATAATGCCATAGTCTAAAAGCATTTGGTACATGGTGCTGGAACAGAGCACTTGTGTCCTCAGGAACCGAGTTGTACTTTGAAACAATATAAAATACAAGTACCCAGTAATCAGCAAGTTCTAATATAGACTGTTAAATAAAAACAACAGCAACATAAAAAAGCAGGGTACGTACTTGGACTGATTTACATCAATGAGTGAACCTATTTTTGACGTGGTAAAGGAGATGTGCTCATCACCGATTACTATTTCGAGCTCCTGAAAAATAAAAGATCATAGGAACTCAAACTATTGCTTTACAGTATTAGTTACAGAAACACGTAAGTACCGAGAGGATGGCTTTTCCATTTTTATTACAAAGGTACTGAATGCAGCAGGTCCGTGAATCACATTAACTCGCACCACGAAACTACCATTTAGGCACTGCTCGGGTTTTAAAATAGCTTTTGTTTCCCCTCTTGGCTAGAAACAATATTGACTTGAAGAAAAAGTTCAGTTATGTTTCTAATGAGCCAACACATAAAAGTTAATGCAGCAATTAGAAAAGACACTGTATACCAACCTGTCGACCAACTCTGTCAGGAGGCGGCCACAGAGCATCATCTTCTTTTGTGATTTCACTGTCATCAATTATTCTCTTCAGCTCCTCCATCACGCTCTTATGCACGTAAGCCTACAAACAGCATTCCAACATGAAAAACCAACCCCAAGCGCTACCTAGCACGCTGCCATGGCTGCTCTGCCTGCACACACTGCCACACGAGCACTCTGCTTCACTGCTTTCCGACACGGCACCCGCCCTAGGCGAAGCCAGGCAGCAGTGTGCTTCATCTCCTTCTCCTCCACCTCCACCATCCCAGCAG